TTTTTCCATTGTTTTTGAGTTACTCAGAAGTACTTTAACTTTTCTTTCTAAATATAGGACTATTTTATTTATGTTTTTGTTATTAACTTATAACTTTTGGTCAAGAACATAGTTCTTGTTTAGAATGTAATCAGTTTTGAAAATGTACAAGGTGTGTCTGAGAAGAATTTATATTTTTATTTTTATTTATTTATTTTTTAATGAATGGATAGTATTTTTTTATTTTATTTTTCTTTTTTATTTCAGAATGTTATGGGGATACAAATGTTTAGGTTACATATATTGCCCTTCCCCATCTGAGTCAGAGCTTCAAGCGTGTTCATCCCCCAGAGAGTGCACACCGCACCCTTTAGGTGTGTATATACCCATCCCCTCCTCCCCTCTCCCACCTGCCTGACATCCAATGAATGTTATTCCTATATGTGCGCTTAAGTGTTGATCAATTAATACCAATTTGCTGGTGAGTACATGTGGTGCTTGTTTTTCCATTCTTGGATTACTTCACTTAGTAGAATGGGTTCCAGCTCTATACAGGATAATACAAAGGGTGCTATATTACTATTGTTTCTTGTAGCTGAATAGTACTCCATGGTATACATATACCACATTTTATTAATCCACTTATATATCGATGAGCACTTGGGTCGTTTCCACATTTGCAATTGTGAATCGTGCTGCTATAAACATTTGAGTGCAGATATCTTTTTTATAGAACGTATTTTGTTCTTTTGGGTAGATGCCCAGTAGTGGGATTGCTGGATCAAATGATAGTTCTACTTGTATCTCTTTGAGGTATCTCCATATTGCTTTCCACAGAGATTGTACTAGTTTGTAGTCCCACCAGCAGTATATGAGTGTTCCTATCTCTCCACAACCATGCCAACATTTATTGTTTTGGGACTTTTTGATAAACGCCATTCTCACTGGGGATAAGTGATATCTCATTGTGGTTTTGATTTGCATTTCCCTGATGATTAGAGACATTGAGCATTTTTTCATATGTTTGTTAGCCATTAGTCTATCTTCTTTTGAAAAGTTTCTGTTCATTTCCTTTGCCCACTTTTTGACAGGGTTGTTTGATTTTTTTTCTTGCTCATTTTCCTGAGTTCTATATAGATTCTAGTTATCAGCCCTTTATCAGATGTGTAACTTGGGAATATTTTCTCCCATTCTGTAGGTTGTCTGTTTTCATGATAGTTTCACTGGCTATGCAGAAGCTTTTTAATTTGATCAGGTCCCATTTATTTATTTTTGCTATGCTGAGATTACCTTTGAATCTTCTTCATAAATTCTTTGCCTAAGCCAATGTCTCTAAGAGTTTTTACAACATCTTCTTCTAGAATTCTTATAGTTTCATGCCTTAGGTTTAAGTCTGTTATCCACTGTGAGTTGATTTTTGTGAGAGATGAAAGGTGTGGATCCTGTTTCAGTCTTCTACATGTGGCTATCCAGTTTTCCCAGCACCATTTATTGAATAAGAATTCTTTCCCCCAGTGTATGTTTTTGTCTGCTTTGTCAAAGATTAGATGCTTATATAAAGATGGTTTTATATCTGGGTTCTCTGTTTTGTTCCATTGGTAATGTCTCTGTTCTTGTGCCAGTAACATGCAGTTTTAGTTAGTAAAGCCTTGTAATATAGCTTGGAATCTAATAAATTGATGCTTCCCAATTTGTTGTTTTTGCTTAAGATTGCTTTTGCTCTATTCTTCTCTGTTTCCATATGAAGCATAGAATTATTTTTTCTATATCTGTGAAAAATCATGTTGGTATTTTAACAGGGATTGCATTGAATCTGTAGATCACTTTGGATAGTATAGACATTTTAACAATTCTGCCACCCCATGAGCATGGTACGGTTTTCCACCTGTTTACATCCTCTGCTATTTCTTTCCTTTGTGTTTCACAGTTCTTACTGTAGAAGTATTTTACCTCCTTATTTGAATATATTTCTAGGTACTTTAATTTCTTTGTTGCCATTGTGAAGAGTATGGAGTCCTTGATTGGGTTCTCAGTTTTATTGGTATATAGGAATGCTACTGATTTCTGTACATTGATTTTGTAACCTGAGACTTTGCTTAATTTGTTTATCAATTCCCGTAGTCTCCTGGCAAAATCTTTGGGGCTTTCTAGATATAAGATCATATCATCAGCAAAGAGAGATAGTTTGACCTCTTCTGCCCCCATTTGGATGCCCTTGATTTGCTTCCCTTGCCTGATTGTTCTGGCTATTCCAGCATTATGTTGAGCAATGATAGAGGGCAATCTTGTCTGGTTACAGTTCTAAGTGGGAATGCTTTCAGCTTTTCCCCATTCAGTATGTTTGCTGTGGGTTTGTCATATATGGCTTGTATCATTTTTAGGTATGTCCCGTCTATGCCTATTTTCTCACGCTTTCTTATCATAAAAAGTGGTTGAATTTTGTCAAGTGCTTTTTTACTTCTATTGAAAGAATCATATGGTCTTTGTTTTTGCTTCTATTTATGTGGTGAGTTACATTCTCTGGCTAGATTAATGAGAGGCAGAAAAGAAATAACTCTAATAAGCTCCATTAAGAATGAAAAAGGATAAATTACAACTGATGCCACAGAAATAGAAAATATCATCTGTGAATACTATAAAAATCTATATGCACATAAACTGGAAAATGTGGAGGAAATGGACAAATTCTTAGAAACACACAGCCTCTCTAGACTCAATCAAGAAGAAATAGAATTCCTGAACAGACCAATATCAAGTACCAAAATTGAAACAGCAATAAAAAACCTTCCTAAAAAGAAAAGTCCCAGACCAGATGATTTCGCAGCCAAATTTTACAAGATCTACAAAGAGGAACTGGTGCCTATCCTGCAGAAATTATTCCACAACATTGAGAAGGAAGGAATCCTCCCCAACACATTAATAAGCCAATATCACCCTGATACTAAAACCAGGAAAGGACACAATAAAAAAAGAAAACTACAGACCGATATCCCTTATGCATATAGATGCAGAAATTCTCAACAAAATCCTAGCAAACTGAATTCAGTGTTTATCAAAAAAATAATCCATCATGACCAAGTGGGCTTCATCTCAGAGATGCAGGGATGGTTCAACATATGCAAATCTATAAATGAATGTGTATTTTTAAATTGTCCCATAATAACTATATGTTCATTAAATTGTGCTGTTCACATCTTCTATATCTTTGGTGATTATTTGGTTTGCTTGACCAGTGAGAAAGTTCCTTAGAAATTATTCACTTACTAGATCTTTTAAAAGATTCTCTTTGTAATTCTACACATGTTTACTTTATAAATTTCGAGGCTAATTTATTAGGTAAATAATTGTTTTGACATATTATATCTTTTGGATTCATTAAATCCTTCAGCGTTCATGATGACTATTCACTATACTTTTTAAGTTTTATTTTCCTTTTAATTGACATAATAATTATGCATATTTATGAGGAACAGTATGATGTTTTGATATATGTATATGTTGTATAATGATCATATCATGATAATTAGCATATTCATCACTTCAAACACTTATTGTTTCTTTGTAGTAAAAACATTCAAAATTCTCTCTTTCAGCTATTTTGAAATATATAAATACATTATTGCTAACCATAGCTATCCTACTGTGCAATAGTGGACCAGAAGTTATTTCTCCTATCTAACTGTAACTTTATACCCATTGACCAGCCTCTCCCCATTTCTTCCTCCTGGCTCCCTGCTCTACCCAGTCACTGTTGTTGTACTCTTCTATGAGATCACCTTTTTTAGATTCTACATATGAGTGAGTTTATGCAATATATATCCTTCTGTGCTTGGCTTATTTCACTTAACATAATGTTCTCTAGGTTCATCCATGTTGTTGTAAATGACAGGATTTATCCTTTTGTATGGCTGAATAATGTTCCATTATACACACACATACATATATGTGTGTGTGTGTGTATATATATACACACACACACATATATACCACATTTTTTATCCATTCATTTGTTGATGGACACTTTGGTTGATTCTATATCTTGCTGTCGTGTTTAGCACTGCAGTAAACATGGGAGTGCAGATATCTCTTCAACATAATCATTTTTCACAGAAATGGAAAGAAATAATTCTAAAATTTGTATGGAACCACAAAAGACTCCAATTAGCAAAGCAATCTTGAGCAAAAAGAATAAAGATGGGGCCATCTCTACAAAAAAAAATTTAGAAAATTTTTCTGGGCATGGTGGCACACTCCTATAGTACCAGCTACTCGGGAGGCTGAGGCAGGAGGATTGCTTGAGCCCAGGAGTTTGGGGTTTCAGTGAGTGGTGACAACACTACTGCACTCCAGCCTGGGTGACAGAGAGAAACCCTGTCTCAAAAAGAGGAAAAAAAAAAAAAAAAAAGAAAAGAAAAGAGAGAGAGAGAAAGGGAGAATAAAGGTGGATGCATTACAATTAATTGACTTCAAACTAATACTACAAGGCTATAGTAACCAAATAGCATGGTACTGACATAAAAGCAGATATATAGACCATTGGAACAAAATAGAGAACCAGTAAATAAATCCACACGTGTATAGCCAACTGATTTTTGACATAGGTACCAAGAGCTGACATTAAGGAAAGGACAGTCTCCTCAATAAATGCTGCTGGAAAAACTTGATATTCACATACAGAGGAATGAAACTACACCTCTCCCTCTCAACACTTTCAAAAATCAACTAAAAATAGATTAAATGTAAAACCCGAAACTATAAAACTACTAGAAGAAAGCATAAGGGAAACACTTCATGACATTGGCGTGGGCAAGGATTTTTTGTATAAGACCTCAAAAGCACAGGCAACAAAAGGAAAAATAAACTAATGGGATTACATCAAACTGAAAAGCTTCTTCTGCTCAGCAAAGGAAACAATCCACAGAGTGAAGAGGCAACCTACAGAGCTAGAGAAAATGTTCACAAACTATGCATCTGCCAGGGGTTAATATATAGAATATATAAGGAACTCAGTAATAGAAAAAAAAAAAAAACCCTAAATAATCTGATTTAAAAATGGGCAAAAGATCTGAATAGATATTTCTCAAAAGGAGACATACAAAAGGCCAACCTGTATATTAGAAAAATGTGCAATGTCACTAGTTATGAAGGAAATGCAAATCTAACCCACAATTAGACAGCAGCTCATTTTAGTTAGAATGGCTTTACCAACAAACAAGAGTTCCAAATGCCAGCAAGGATGTGGAGAAAGGGGAATTTGTATACGCTTTTGGTGGGAATGTAAATTAGTACAGCTGCTATGGATAAAAGTATAGAGGCTTCTAAAAAATTAAAAATAGAACTACCATATGATTCAACAACCCCAGTACTGGGTACATATCCTCTATACTGATGTCCGTCTTGTCTGATACTGACTTAGTTTTTCTTTTTATTAGTATTGCTTTGATATTATCTTTCTTATCTTTTTTATTTTGAAAATTTCTGTGTCCTTATAGCACAATTTGAAAACAACATATGGCAGATATTTTTCCCAATCATTGCCTTTAAATTGGAGGTAATATTTATTATTAAAAATTTGAATTTTTCTATCATTTGAAGTGCTGATTTAAATTATCTAACTTTTTCTATTTTTAATTTGTTTTGCCTTTTTCAAATGATAAGAAATTTAGCAGCTTCATACCATTAGTGTTCCCCACATCATCTGGTTATTATATATAATTTTCATTTTGGTTTGCTTTGAATATACTTTTTCTTCCCTGTTTAAGGGTGCTTTTGGTCTTTTAAAAGACAAAAGCAAACTTTCAAGATATTTTATCTCCTGTACTTCATGTGTCTTCTAATCTGCTAGGTTTGCTTCTTTTCTCATTTGACTACTTTCTTACAAAGTATTTCTGAAATGGGTCTTTATGAGACAAATCTAATGAAGTCTTGTTATGTCTGAAAATATTTTTACGACATTTGAAAGGCAATTTGGCTGGATATAAAACTCTGGGTTTAATGTTCCTTCACTTAAAATGCTTTAAAATACATGATCCCATTGTTTTACTGAACCTAATGTTGCTGTTGAGAAGTCTGATGTCAACTTGTCCTGAAAAGTTATTTGCTCTTTCTGTCTGGAAGCTTTTAGGACTCTTCCTTTGTCTTGGATATTCTTAAATTTCACTATGATATCAATGCTTACATTTTCTTATTTCCATATAGTTTATCCTTTGGCAATTTCTATCCAAGACCATTTATCTTTCATGAAGTCTCTGAAGGTTTATCTCCAGGGTTTCCTCTTTCTCCTTTCTCCTCCTCCTTGCTTCATGCCCTCCCCCACAAACCACTTGTCTGTTTCCTTCCTCCCCGTCCTTGGTTCAGTGGTGCCTTCTGCTTCTGTTACTGTCTTGTGCCCTGCATTCCCGTGTTGCAAATGAGGGTAGTTAGCATTGCTTCTTGATATTCTATGTACTTTTAAGCAAAAAGTGGCAGATTGGCAGTCAATTATCAGAAATCAAAAATTTGAGTTAAAACATTAACTGTGTGCTTAAATTATCCCACTATTTGGTGCCATTGCTTTCCTACTGTGGTCTGTCCATCTAGATTTCTTAATTCCATTCTCTGTTTTGGGTGGCTCCATTATGTATTTAATCCTATTTTTCTAAGTTTGTCACTTTTTATTAATTCCTGAGTCTATGCAATGTCCTTCTTAATCTAGAATGTGCTTTTTGTGTCATCACCTAAGCTGGAGACATTTACTCTTTCTTTTTTCTGTTTGTAGTGTGAAAAGGGAAACCCTGGGATCCAGCAGATTATCAAGCAGATTTTTAGCCAACACCATTTTTTTTCTGCATACACATTGGTTACATTATGTATTCTTTGTTAAATTCCAATATTTTTACCAGAATATGTTTAGATTTATTTTTAACATTTGGTTTGGAGCATTGGTATGTCCCTTTGGTTTACAGTTGATTCTTTTAAAATTAAAAAAATATTTCTTCACTTGAATCTTGTTTGGTCCTGTCAAAGTTGTTGTGAATTTTCTGGTTTGTGCATTTGTTTTCCCAGAATCTTCCATAATTCTGGCTTTGATCTGCATTTTATGCTCCCTCCATTTCTTTTACTTCAGTCCTGGTCCTTGCTGCCTGTGATCATACCTTTCAAATTGTTGGGGAGAGGAGGCCTCCAATCACCCATCCTCTCTTCTCTTTGTCAATTCCAATGTGGACTTTACTGCTGGGATTGGAAGTTTGGTTTTATTTGCAAGCCTTCCTTCCTTAATTTACCAACTCCCCTTTTAAGGTCACTTGTTATTTTTCTGCTTTTTCCCACAACTCTCCATTTTAGCCTGCTTTGTGTTTTAGTTCATTGTAACAGTTCCATACAAAACATGTTCTCTGAATTATATTGAAGCTGTTGTTTACCACACTGTTCATTGTTCTATCCATGGTCACTTTCTCTGGATTACTCTGCCAGCAACTGCAAGCCCTGTTGTAAGATGGTGAGATTCTTTCTAAGTCTGTCTCAGCCAAATGCGCTTTGCTGGTGGGGATTGCATTTCCCAGGATTCAATGAGCCATTGCCTGTTCCTTTCTCCTCCCATTCCTGTCTTACAGTTTCCTGGAAATTGTTTTCTCTAAATGGATTTATAGCATTTTTCTGAAAATATGTTTCAGGGAACACTAGTTCTTTAGGATGTATATAGATGTTAAGTAAAAATAAAAATGCCATGTAGTCAATTGCATTTAAGACATATTGAATCAAACAAAACCACAACAGGATTGTTTACTGAATGGCTTTCCAGACCCTTTGATGGCTCTGTAGGTCCTTGAGATGGGCATAGACAAAGGTCAAAGGTCTCTGGAGTACATCTTGGAAGTCTGATAGATTCTGCAGAGCACATGTGGTGGCTGTTGCTGTCCCATGTTTGCGGAGGTAGAGAAAATGGCTGTCTCAGGACAGAAAGCACACAGTAGAGGAAGTGCTGTGCACTATTCAATTTGGTACAAACCCTGGGCCTCCAATCTGGAGAACAAGTAAAGAGGGAATGAGTGGTGTTAGACTGTCCTCCTGTGGGGCTTCAGAGTGGTGAGACTGCCCTGTCTTTTGTCGAAAAGCACAGGTCATCACCCAATGATTTTATTTCTCAACCCATATCCATCCCCCATATTTTCAAGGGAAATGTGCAATATTGACAATAGGATGACTGTCAGTAATGTCTTTATCCTTTTTTCCCCTATTTTTTCATCATTTCTGTGCCTTTGTAAATATTTTAGTTAGAAGTTGGGGGAGAATGTGTCATCTGCCATTTTAAACCAGAGACCTTTGGAAACACTGTGAGAAGTTGGTGTATAATCTACACTGAACTTGCTATCTCACATGGGCAGGAGAAGCAATCCCTTGGAAGTATGTAGCTCCACACTTCTCCATGAGGGTTTGGCCTCAAGGGCATGGCTGTGCTGGCTCCTGATTACTGCCGGCAAATGCAGGGTGTATCTCTGTGTACGCTGCCTTTGCAGCACTGGGCTCTATCGGCACCCAGCGGTGTAAGTACTGCTGGCTATACCCCAGGCACTAGTGTAGCCGTAAAACTTTGAGCTTGCCACTGCTTAATCCCCATCAAAGGTAGGTTGAGAGAAACAATATTTTTAGTAGATTACCTGAAAGCTATTCAATCCATCAGTCCTTTGGGTGCTAATGTTCATAATCAAGTAAAGGTGGGCATTCAGCGAGCTTCCTCTGATGAGAATCGCTTTCCTCCTTGGAGACTCATTTCATCAAGTATGTTTGGTGTGATGTCATTGGCTGCCACTCAGGGACCTGGCTAGAAATATGCCTAGGAGACTCATCATTGGCTTTATTGTGAGCGTGATGCTGAAAACATTGGCTGCCTGACACCTGTTTTCTCCTTAAGCACGGATGCTCTGCTCTTCATTTCATTCAGGGATGGAAATAGCTATGCTTGTTTTTGTCCTACGATGTTATAAATCATATAAATGATTAGGTTACTGATCATATTAAGTAGCTAAAATGATGGGTGACAGAGTTGATATTTAAATCATTATGGCAGGCTGGGTAGAGGCAAACCAAATAACCTCAGCCGTGGAAAATCTAGTCTTTATTTGGATAAAAACAGTCCATTGAAACACCTGTTCTGACAGAGAGATTAATTCAGCATTTCCAAAAGTGTGTTCTGAGCCACAGTACTTGAAGGAGAAGCTTCCCGAAGGAAAGGCCCTGGGGAGAACTAAGGGTGGGAACGCGGCATGTCAAATCTATCTTATCATGATTCACAACACACATCAGCATATTAAAAATCTGTGTTGAAAAAATCTGTTTAGTTTTTGTCGTGTCCATTTTTTTTCTTCCAAAGTTCATTTACCTCAGGGCTTCTGTTGTCGCTGCTGTTCCTGTCCCTCATCCTAGTGCTAGCCCAGGAATGCTCTGTGGGGTTCAGTCAGTTCAGAAAATACCAGGTTTAATCCTCCCACCTAACACCAGTGAGTTTTTCTTTCTATTATTGGTTGACTCCCATTATAATAATGCTTTTATTTTTTCATGTACTCCTTATGATCTGTCTGGAATGTTGTTGCTTTTACTGTGGTAGCTGTGGCAGGCGTGGTTCGCGCTGTGCCTTGTGAAGGTTAAGGCTATCCATGAGCATGGGGTGGGGGTGCGCCGGGGCCCTGCAGGGACGGGCGCTGAGGAGGCTGGAGGACTCCGGTGACAGCTGTCGGCCGGTTGGAGAGCAGGTAAAGCCTGTCACTTTACACCTTTCCCGACCTCCTCCAAGCTTGCGCTGGACTCTGTGGATAAAGGTATGAACAAGGTATAGAGACTTCATCTCCAGGGGCTTAAGATGGAGAGCAGCGACAGGCACGTGAAGAAACAAGGGCCCCAGCGCGCCACAGGAGCGGGGTAAAAGTGACTGGCGGAGGTTCAGGTACGGCCTGGCGGGGCGAGCACACCTGCGCTGCCGGCCGGGTGCAGCCAGCGCCAGCGGTTGCTGCGGGCCGCGGCGCTTGGTTCCTTATGGCCGGATCCTAGAAGCCCTGGGAAAGGAAGGTGGAAGACGCCTGAAGAGTCGGCCGAGGCCCGGCCTTGGGTGCTGAGCTCCAGAGAGCGCGCTGGGCTGAGGGTGTGGCAGAGCCGAAGCTGAGGACAGGCAGAGTGGGCATCTGACTGACCCCAGGTCTTGCTGCCTCGCTGCCGCCTTGTGATGGGCCGGTGCCTCTGCGGCCCTTCCCCTCCTGCTCTGCCCGCCACGTCCTCAGCAGCTCAGCACTCGCGTGGCTGTGTCGGAAAGGGACTTGGAGTGGGGGCTTGTGGCTTCCTCCCTGCAGGACTCAGGGGTGTCATTTCCCTGTTCTGCTGGGGCAGCAGGAGGGAGGGGCAGCAGGAGGGAGGGAGGGGCAGCAGGAGGAAGCACCTTCAACTTCAGGGGAAGAAGGCAGCTTCCTGTCAGGGGGTCTGGCATGGCCCTGTCTTTGAACCTGTCGGTCTCCGTGCTTGGGCAGAGCCGCAGCCATGGCTTCATCTCACCGGCATTGGGAGGAGTGGGGAGAGAGACAGAGACAGAGACAGAGAGACACCAGCGTCCTGAGGCCTTGAGAAGCTCTCAGCTTCGACTGTGAGCTGGATTCCGGAGTCGTACACCTGCACCCTGCCAGAGAATAAATCATTCCAGCAAGTCTGATGACTTACGAAGTACAGCCAAGAGGAAAAATCATTTTGGGAATATTGTAAAGCCCCTTGCCAGTGCCCCCCACTGGTGGAAATATCGATACAAGATTACCTGGGCCCCCAGCCCTGCGGCTTCATCCAGCCGTGGGGACAACACTGCATTTCAGGGCTGACAGCAACAGCGTGTCTCTTGCTGCTGCGGCCATCTGAGCTTCACGTGTCAAGACGGCTGTCTGGTGGCACTGGCGGTTGGGGCGTGATTGTCCAATGGGGTAGACAGTGTTCCACGGAGGCCGGGATTCCGGGCCTGTGGGAGAGGGACTTGGGGAAGGGCGGGCTTCACTGGTGGCTGACTTGGGAACAGACCTGAACTTAGGCCCTAGCTTGGGTGCACTTCAGCGTCCAGAGCCTGAGGCAGGGGCTCTTTTGGGGCCGGAGGCCTGGCCTCCTGCCTGGATCGCAGGGCTCAGCTGCCCCCTCTCCTCTCGGGGCTGCATCCTCCCGCTGGACCATGCCCGGCCCTCCCTCTGTGACCCTGCACAGAAGCCCGGGGTCCCCTGGCTGTGTCTCTTTTCTGAGCTCAACTGTTTGCATTTCATCTCCGTCTGTTGTTTTATAATCTCTTCTTTGAACTCTTGTATCACTTCTTAGATTTCTTTTTCCTTCAAGAGACCATGTTATCTGTTACTTCTTAGAGACTAGGGAGAATGTTTGTCTGAACTCTGAATCTTTTTTTCTCCCCCTGAGAGATAATTCCTTGTGATGCATTTTACATTACCTGCTTTTTCTGCTGTTCCCTTCTTCCCCATGCCAGCTTCTCCCTTTCCTCTACCCATTTCTTGAGGAAATTCTGTTCATATATTCACTGTTGCTCCCTTGCAGAGAGAGCGTGGGGAGGGATTGGGGGCCAGGGGGAGCCGGCTGGGGCAACCCTCCACCTCTCTCCAAGTTTGCAATCCACTTTGTCCTGGGTGTGTATCGCCCCATAATTTTCAGGATTCAAAACTTGAGGGAACTTACAGAAAATTCTTAGTAGATCCTCATCCTACATGTCATGACTTGGGCTCTCTGCCCTCAGCTCCTCTGTCCCATCTCAACTCAGGACGTCTCTCAGGGCCTGGGCTGTGGCTGGAGGCCATGACATGGCCGTGCCTTACACGTGGGGCGGACCTGGCCTCACAGGGGTATCACTCACTCACTCCCTGGGCTCCTGCAACACAGAACAGAGATGTCGGGGGACATCTTGGTTCTGCTCGGTGCCTGAGCTGCCAGGGCCAGCATCGGCGTCTGCCTCAGCACTCAGGTGTCACCACCCGGCGGGTGTACTTCCTTCACTGTGATTTGGAGTCTCTCGGGGGGAACATCCCTCATTGTCTCTGGGAAAGGCAGGATTAGGAGGGGAAAAGATTATGGTTGGGGGCGATAGAGTGTGTCCCCTCCAGACCCTCAGGAGGACGAAGACAAAAGCCCAGCAAGTTTGTCTTCTCTGCCTCAGGTAGAGTATGGCCGTGGCAGGTGTCACGACAAGCTTATCTCCCAGGAGAGCAGGAGCCTGCGTGGCAGAGGGCTCTGTGTAGCCCATGACCAGGCCTTGGGCGGGGTGGTGTGGGGGTGGTGGAGAAAGAGGGATGCAAGCTGGGATGCCTGTTCTCTACCATAGATGCCCAATTACAGAGCAGCACGGTCACAACCCCCACACTGACGGGGCTTGAACCCCAGCCCCCAACCTCTCTGCCCAGCCCCGCCACTCCTGTGCCAAACATTCTTTCTGCGCAGTTCTGAATCTCCCCCATGATCCGTCTTTCCTGTGTCTCCTAACAGATGCAGACCTTGTTTGTTTCTTGCCAGTTTCCCTTTTTTAAGGCCTGAAATGGCCTCGGGGTGTAGAGCCAGGTCCCCTGAGGACAATTGCCTAGTGACAAACTGCTGGTACGCAGACTGTGTGTCACCTCATTTAATCATTCTTCTGCTCAATCTATATTTATTGAGTTCCTGGTATCTGCCAGTCATGGGGTTAGGTGCTAGAAAATGACAGGGGACAAAGGGAGACACAGCCTTGCCCCCCGAGTTTAGGGCTCAGGGGACGGCACTTGTCTCCTTTGGGAGGGAGGCTCAGTGATGCTCACGTGCTGTGATGGGGCAGTGGGCCCCACCTGGCTGGGGGGCGCACGTCAGGCTCCTGGACAAAGCATGGGAGAGGGCTCCCTGCAGGAGGAGGAGCAGGTGTGATGCCTGGAGGCATGAGGGAGGGGCGCTGCTGCCACAGAACTCAGGGCCCTTCAGCGCAGGGGAAGCAGAGGGTCATAAGGCCCAGTCACTCAGACTCCCCACAAACTGTACTTGTGTTTGGAGCGTACGTGTTCGTGTTTTACAAGATCACTCTGCCACAGTGCCGGGGCATTCGGGACTAGCTGAGGCTGGAGCCTGGAGCATTGCTCACCTCCTGCTCTGGACCTCTGCCACCCTGACCGTGTGGCCCCTAAATCCCGTGGGTGCCTGGGGGACTGTCCCACCCCATGGGCATGTCTGAAGCTGGCCTGGTCCCTTCCTCTCCATTCTGAACCCTGAGAGTGTTTGCTGCCTTTGTAGCTGCCTGATGAGTTGTTTGCTAACAGGAACCACACATGGCCCCAGGCGCTGTGCCAGGGGCTTCCTGAGAGCCACTTTCGCCCTCAGAGATGGTCTTTGTCCCAAACCCTCGTTTTTCATAAATTCAAGCTGAGACCCCGAGAGAGCAGCTCTGGGCTCCCGGTGTTGCCCTGGCCCTGTTGTGCTGCAGGCCCTGTGCTCTGTGGATACGCCAGCATCGTCCCGAGGCCTCTGGGGTCGCAGCGGTGGCACTCCGTGGAGCGTCAGCTTTGGCAGGTGTTTCGGCCCCAGAGCCAGCTCTGCGGTTCCTGCTTACACAGTCAGAATCCTGAAATTCGAAAATAGATCATAAATAGACATGTGGATGACCTAAATCCAAATGGAGTGGGGCACCCTGGGGAAGACGAAGCTTGCTTATTTATTTATATTTATTTATGTATACCCTGCCTCATTCCAGAAAAGGATTAATGGCAGCCTACAGAAATACTTAGTGTACGACTGGAGGTTTTTTTTTATTATTAATTTTTTTCTCCTAATGAAGAAATGAGGGAAATCGGAGCAAAGAGAAAATGAGGGCAGGGATGCAAGATGAAGCTGGTGGAAAGATAAATATACAATGCATGTGCAGGGTGGGCACATGCATTGTAACTCATGGGCCCTCAGAGGGTTACACAGTGAGTAACTGTATGCAGCGCCCCACCAACCATTGCCTCAGTTTACCCATTAGTGGGAAGCGTGAGTCCCCAAGACAGAGGACAGGAGGCCAAAGCAGGCATTTATGACATGGAGGAAGTGACTTTGCCTGCCCCATTCCCCATGAGCTCTGACTGTGGGCATTGCATGAGACACAAGGACCCAGATAGGACTTACTCTACTTCTCTTATCAGATGTTGGCTTTGGGAGAGAGCAACAGGGACATTAGGTGGATGTGGAGGGCAGACAGGCCACCTTTGGTGTGATCTGTCCCATGGGAGGCAGGATCCTGAGATTGTCCACTAAGCAATCATATTTCTGAGGTTCTACATTGCTGCAGGTGGCCCCAGGTCAGGTTTGGTCAGGTGTGTCGGGTGTGCTAGCCTGCAGACGCCTGGCGGTGGGGAGAAGGGTGAGGGCTTGGCTGCTGGAGCTGCCTGGCCGCACAGCCGATGCTCTTGGGTTATGGACACATCTGTGCTCTGATTCACTATCCAGAGGGCAGGGGCTGAGGGGCAAACCTTTGAGCCTGAAAACAAAAACGAGCCCAGTAGCAACTTGGAGATTTTCAGGAAAGCATTTAAGCTGGTTCTTGGAGAGTGCCAGGAGCAGAGATGACAATCCCACCTCACAAACCAAGCTGTGTGAGCCCCACGTCAAGTCTTGGGATTTCGCCCATGCAGGAATGGCTAGCAGGGAGGAGGGGAGACCATTTGGAAATAAAGATCCGCTAGTTTACCTGCATAGACTAAGACCGTCTCTCCAGGGGGTACAATTAGAGCCAAGAGTTTCCTGTGCTTTCAGGATCCATTTGAATGTTTCATCTCCAGCCCAGAGAGAACTGGGGCCGCCCGTGCGGTGGGCCAGGACCCCCTTCCTTCCTGACTCGCTGGCCCAGCCCCACGCCCCTCTCCGGGCAGCACCGCGGGAATGTCTGCCTCTGCCACAAGGCCAGTTTCCCCACAGAGAAGGCGTACATCTAGAAAGGAAAAGGCTGGCAAGCTTCTAGGCAGTCAGTAATTCCTGATTTTTTTTACTCATTCATCAACTCTTAATTGGTGTCTTCTGTGTGTCAGACACTCTGCTAAGGGGTAATTAAAAGGCAAAATAACTTTTTTTTTCACGAAGTTTATAGTCTCCAGAGGGTGACCGATGAGTAAGCAGATCCTGTGATGTGGTAAGCGCTCTGCAGGGGTGACGGGAGATCGGAACGGGGCAGGGAGCCAGGGCCAAACCCGGGGAGTCACACAGGAAAGGACTCTGTGGGCCGGGGGTGGGTGGGACCGTCTCAGACCCAGAGGCAGAAGCCTCCTGAGTAGGAAGAAACTGCAGAGGGGGTGGCTGGCAGCGTGGGGGCCCTGCCTGTCCGTGTCAGCAGGACACAGCAGCAGAGAGGGGCCGGGTGGGAGGGCTTGGCAGCGCACCCTCCTGTTCAGGCTGGCTGGGGGACGGTTTGGCCTGGGGTGGCGGGGAGTGCCGGGCTGGGCACATGCCTGGCTCACTGGCGTGGGTGGCCTGGAGTAGTGGGTGTCACAGAAGCTGGGCACGCTCCCGGAACGGAATCGGGGCTCCCTCGCAGGAGATCTCCACGACGCTAGCCCCGTTTACTCCACCCCGCATTCCTGTAGGAGGGATGGGTGACAGGAATGAGGCTGAGATGTTTGGAGTCCAGCAGGGAGGCGGTGCCCAGCTCATGGATAGGCAGGGGCTGCTCAGTTTGGTGGCCTCACCCACAGGGCCTTCTGTGAATGGGGCCCCAGTGGACAGTAGACTCACAGGACGTGCAGACTTCGTGGCAAGACTTGGGCACTGGGCGCAGCCAGGGCAGGGGCAGGAGAGGCACGTTTCCCAGACCCTTCCTCCTCGCCAGGCACGCCCGGCCTGCACGCTGCGTGTCTGTGATCTCACCGCACGCTGCGTGAATGGGAATGGTCTCCCCAGCTACCAGCAGGCAGAAGGAGGCTCAGAGAGAGTCTAAGTAACTTGCTCAATGTCGCGGTTGTCCTTGGTAGGTGCTTCATTCCAGCCAGGCCCGCAAGGCACTGAAGGGAGCTGGCTGACGGCAGCTGGGGGACAGGGCAGAGCCTGTCCACACCGCCAGGCCCAGGCCCTGGGCGAGCCCGGCCACAGCTCTGCCCCTCACGAGGGCGTGACCCCAGCAGGCTGGCGAGAGGCCCCGCTCCCTAATGGCTGGTTTTCTTTCAGGTCGAACGCCTTTCCCTCCCACCAGCCCTCCCCTGTCCTGCCCTTTGCAGCCTGGGCCCTGGGAGGCCATAGTGACATCGGACGCTCACAGCGGGTTCATCTCCTTCTGCACAAATCTCCTTCACGTCAGCCGGGGCCTGCTGGGGGGTGGGGCGTGCTAATCTAATCGGCCCTTTCCCCGTCTGTAATTACTGTAATCTATAACAATAATTACAGTCCATTTTATTTTAGTGCCACTTATCTAAATGTGGATGTGCACTACTGAGATTGCCGATAGAAATAAGCCCTTGGGTGAGGAGCAGGGTGGAGGGGGTGGGGGAGGGCCGCCGACAGGCCGAGCAGCTCCGGCGTGCCCCTGGGAGCCCTGCTGCCCTCTGCACGC